CTGGTACGTATTTTTTCAGTTTAAGGTGTACTGAGTTTAGTAAAAATAAAGTTTAATGGAATACGTTCAGAAGAAAAAATTAATATATGTGTCACGCTCTGAGGAAAGGTACCTAAGAAACAAAAAATTTGAGGTTATGTTTTTAATGTTTTAAGTAAAAATACAGAAAGAGAATCAATTATTAATTAAAAATTGTTGATTTTCAAGTCTTCATTATATTCAAAATATTTAATAAAAATTGGTTTCAAATTCAAATAATTGAAAATAAACTTTTAATCAATATAAATCTAACACGAACCCAACCTATAATTCGTTTGCTTCTTAGGTACCTTTCTTGGGAGCGCGTCACATATTGTAGGTTAATTATTAGATGACGGTGTGGGGCTAAATCGGACGTCGTGATAAGCAACACCAGGTCTGCGAATACTATAATTAATTTTCTATTTATTAACTATTTTATATTATATTCTTTGCATAGAACCACTTTGTAAATAAATAAAGAATTTATTTTAAAACACGAACTAGCAAGCGAGCTGCTGCAAACAAACAAGTCTGAAAACTATAATTCATTTTTATATTATATTAATTACCTATTTTATATTATATTCTATGTATAGAACTACCAAAAAATAAATAAACAAAGAAAATATTTATGTAGAAAATTTGAATTTTCTACATAAAAAACGCAAATTTGTGTCTCATTCTTTAATTAATTAGCGGTGTTCGATTAGCCCCACCAATTTTAAAATTTTCGTTTTTGAGGTAGTCACCTTCAAAGCAATATATCACCAAAGCTACTGTAGTTTTTTAAAATCGAACAACTGTGATTTGTAGGTGAAGGAACAAACTTCAAAACGGTATATTACTCTTTAGCAAAAAATATTTTGTTGTATGAGTTTTCTGGTCAAAGATCAAATCCATCCGGTTTAGCCCCACTCTCTCCTACTTAATAGAGATTTCTTCCCAATGGGAAGTAAACGATTGGTTCAATAATGGGCCATGCTTGGCGAACTCCGTTCCATTATTGGAACATTAATGGCAACCATCATTGGACCACCAATGGTTTAAACTTGGGATGATCACGCTACTGCCAATGATCGGTAGCCAAGCATCGGGCCAATATTAGTTGCCAAGGAATTGCCAAGGAAACAAAATCGATTTTCAAAAGCTTGATTTTTTATTGGCAGCCAACAAAAAACAAAGGTTTTGAAAATTGATTTTTCTTAATTATTAATTAAAATTTATTTTTAAAAAATATATTTTTCAAAAAATTATTTAAAAAAAAAATATATTTTTTAAAAATATATATTTTTTTAAATTAATAGAACATATTAATTTAATTTGTCACCTCTGGTAAAACAAAGATGAAAGACTGATAAATTCCCTCACTTTATATTTTACAGTGGAGGGATAACTGTGAATGTCTTTGCGAGAGAGGAGCAGGTACTTATATAGAGCCAGTGAAACAGGTCACAAGCGAGAAGAAATCACTAGCATGCACTCTGGCGGCGCTTGTCGGAACTGTTTTCTGGCGCGCATGCATATCCTGACATTATCGACACAGCGCTTGGCAACCAACGTTGCGCCACTTCCGACAAGCGCCGCCAGAGTGCATGCTAGTGATTTGTTCTCGCTTGTGACCTTTCTCACTGGCTCTATATAAGTACCTGCTCCTCTCTCGCAAAGACATTCACAGTCATCCCTCCACTGTAAAATATAAAGTGAGGGAATTTATCAGTCTTTCATCTTTGTTTTACCAGAGGTGACAAATTAAATTAATATGTTCTATTAATTTAAAAAAATATATATTTTTTAAAAATATAATTTTTTAAAATAAATTTTTGAAAAATATATTTTTTTAAAATAAATTTTAATTAATAATTAAAAAAAATCAATTTTCAAAACCTTGGTTTTTTGTTGGCTGCCAATAAAAAATCAAGCTTTTGAAAATCGATTTTGTCTCCTTGGCAATTCCTTGGCAACTAATATTGGCCCGATGCTTGGCTACCGATCATTGGCAGTAGCGTGATCATCCCAAGTTTAAACCATTGGTGGTCCAATGATGGTTGCCAATTGTTTTGCCAAGAAAAAACCATTGGGTACCAAGCATGGCCCATTATTGAACCAATCGTTAACATTGGCAACTTCCCGTTGGGTTACCATAGCTGCTGACTTCCATGTATATTTTTGAAGCTACAAAAATTTTTTTTCATGCTTCCCACAATTTTTCTGTTATTCTGTAGACTCTAATCTACATTTTCTAAAAGGTTTTATCCATTCATGACGTTTCTATTCAGAGTTCTACGATTTTGATACAAAATTCCACCAAATCCCCCACTGTGAGCTGTGACCGTTGCATCCGATGAGGTACGCTATATTTTTTCTGTAATGTACGTGTAAAGACACGTATAAATGCCAAATTTCAGTGTACGGAACCCTAAAAATAGAAATTCTATAAGTCAAAATCCTCATGCTATCTACTCCGAAACTCTGACCGAACGCTCATGCTAAGCGAAGACAATAATGATCCCACATTCATGTTATATAGATTTCGAATTTTCTTCCAACAGTCAATCGCAGCGCAACCAACAGAAAACGAATGAAGTATATTGGAACCAACAAGTAGTTTCAAGTAGTTTCGAGTAAAAAAACCAGTTATGCTGTGGGTGTTTTTGGCAAAAGCTCGGATTATGCTCCAGATTCCTTCAGTGGTGCTCAAAACTATCTGTCTCCTACGGAGTTAATTTGATTTTATTATCTCTCTTTATTAATTTTATTTTTATATCTCTATGTTTAATTCCTAAGAAAATTGTTACCAGATAAACCAGACTGTACTCTGACTTCCAATGCAGATTACAATCTGGTTTATCGGGTATTAATTTTCAGGGGATTGAACAAAATTTCTAGACTGTATGTTACTAGGTTTTGACAAAATTTTTCTGGAAGCTAAGAGATATTTCGTACATTGTCACAATTCACCATTTTTGAGCCAAAAAAAATTAAGAGCTTACCAAAGTAACCAATTATAACATATTATTTAAACAATTACAGAAACCATATTTAAAAATTAAAGTGAGCCCCACTGAAATCATTATAATAAAAATACTTTTATATAAAAAAACATCTAGTTAGATTTAGCCTACAATTTTTAACTAAAAACAAGTAATTAAGAAAGGGAACCATAATTTTGGAAAATAGTTTCCACTCAGGTTCGCAGACTTTTCAGATATTTACACAAACAGATTTTATGTGTGGACTGTGCACCCTCAAAATTTAGAAAATAATACTTTGTTGGTGGCGCTAGGTCGCCGAGCTCAGGGCCCCTGTTTTCCGCTTACCACCTCATCATGAGACTAATCTATTACAGCAACGTCCATTGCAGCCAGAGTTCAGTGTATTGAAAATTAGCTACATTTAAACTTTTAAGAATCCATTTAAAACCTTGGAAAAATAATTTTTTCCTGGCATATTCGTGTTTATGAATCTTAAATAATAAAAATATTTGTTTTTGGTAAGCTGAATCTGTCTACAGACTTTAGAAATCGAATTTCAGTAGGAACGCCACTTTCGCACTTTTTGACGCTTCTTCTGTCACCTACTCACGAAACGCCAATTGGAACGCCATGCTAGCGAAGAGGCTAATAAATTATTTTGTTTCCCAACGTTAACTCAAATTGACCATCAAATCTCAAATTGAGAATCTTAAACCTGCGAGAGTCACTAAATCTGATGCTGCATACATAATTAAAACTGAAATAAAATTGACTATGGTGGACGGTAAAGTTTGTTAGGCACTAACTGATACACCTTCAAGTTCCACTTGCTATATTTGCGGAGCAAAACCATAAAAAATGAACGATCTGGAGCACTTAAAAAAAAGGTTGAAAACATACCTTACTTTGATTTTGGTTCAGCAGACAAAACTACGTAAGAAACAACTTCGATATCAAAAATTAAAAAAAAAGTCGAATTTTGCAGGCCTGTCTGTGTATTAGAGCAATATGAAATTGCGTTGAATTCGAATTGATCTCATCGCAAGCTAGATCTGAAAAATAATAACACTTACATGACCTAATGTAAAAAAACAGTTTTCAAAAATTACCAAAATCAGGACCACCCATAAAATGTCATTCTCCATTTTGAAAATTGAATATCAGATTCGTAATCAGCGACCTCAAAAACACCCGAGAAACGAATTTCAGGTAAATCCGGTGAATGTTTCAAAAAGTCGTCCTCCATAATGGGTCCGCCAGTCTCTAGCTCTCCGTTTATACGTAAAATCCAAATTTTGACACCTTCAATAGGTATAAAATCGGAAATTTTATACAATGTCTAGACAATGTATTTCCCGTTTAGAGCAGCAATATCGTACCAATTTGGAAGACCAAGCACAAATGTAACTTATCATAAATAGAAGCAAAAATTTGTTTATTCAGAAGAAGGCGAAAACTTACACCAAAAGTGATACAAAACGGAGGACATAAAACGCGTTACACGCGGTACTAGTATAGTACGATGAACTAAATTACAGAAACCTTTAGTACACCATACTATTATCGTACTCGTATTATACGAGATTAGCATACTAGCACGACAAACTAGTACAAACGTACCTAGTACCTTTTATATTTTTATACTTTTTTGATTTATCATTCAAATAAGCCTATATGAACGTTAAAAAATGTTAAGTTCTTCGGTAGATATAAATAAAATAGGCAAATCACTGAAAATGGGGTTTTGTTAAATATCTGATTGATAAATTAACATTTTTTTTCGTTATGGTGTCATTTTTTCGAAATTTTACGAATTTATTGAAAAACAAGTTTTTAGTTATTATAGTTTTTCAGATTTATTAAATAATAGCGGTCGTATAATTACCACTAGTGGTCTATAAATTGAAAAACAAAAATAAAATTTTTTGGAAAAATTAGCATTGGTAATCTTGTTTTATGACTTGATGAAATGGGTGGTTTAAAAATAAATTGAATTTTTTGTTTCAGATTCATTAAAAAAAAAAATATCTGTATCCTGTAATTTATCATTCAGGGGACCAAAACACACGCAACAACGGATAACCCCAGAGGACCGGGGGGTGCAGCTCGTGTCCCGGGAGGAAGGTCAGGGTTTACATAATTACCTTGGCTTTAAACGAGTTTAAAAAGCAACCTGCTTCCTTTTTACTTCAAACAATCCTACGCGTTGCGATCCCATTTAGTGTAACTCAAAACTAAAAAATTCGATGCCTTCCAGGGACGAAATTCGCTCCCTATCTACTGAGCGACGCTGGATCCCTCCTTCTACTGTTAGACGCGATGCACTCACCCCAGAAAGCAGAAATGATCTTATCTTCAGAAAGGTGCGCGGAATTCTCAACAAGCTCACACCGGAAAAATTCGCAAAGCTGAGCAACGATTTACTCAATGTTGAGCTTAATACAGATGTCATTCTTAAAGGAGTAATTTTTTTGGTAAGAATTTATTTTCATAATTGCTTAATGTTTAGTTTTGGTTAAAAATTGGGAGTAAATAACTAAGTTGCCTTCAAATTATTTTCACTAGTTTTATAATATTTTTATCTCGTACAATAGTCCTTCTTGCACTTATGTTCATGTTCACCGGGTGTCAAATAAATATTTGCGGTTAACCCCATCGAAGGAGAGAAATGGTAGTATTAATTTTTATAAAATGGAATTTTACTCATTTTTCATACAAAACGCAAAAGTTGGATTCCACTTTGATAGTCACTTTGATAGTGAACAAAATTTCTAAATTTGAGCATACGACAGAATAACAAACAATATGATTACTTCTCGATTAAAAAATGCTTTTAAATAAATAAGAAACTTAAGGCCATGTTATTCAGTGTGATGTTTTTCCATAGTAAAGTATATGGGACACGTGACCACTGAATAACATGATCTTAAGTCAATGTAATTTTTTTGTTAATTTTTTTTTTTTAAGAGAAATATTTTAAAAGTTAATTGATGAATTGCAACAGATAAAGTCGGGAGATAATCTTTAAAAGAAATTTATAATAAATAAAAGAGCTGTCATTAATGTTAAAAATAACTAGCAATATTGTTTTTTGTTGGCAATTATTGAAACTTTTATCCAGCTAAAGCCATACGATCGAAGTAGTTAACAATGAAAGAATTTTCTGTCTCGGCTGTCTTCAGTGTGTTCTAGCAGCGCACCCTGTCTCAAAGGGTGGTTGTTCCTCGTCTAAGAGCTAGATTTAACTTATCTAGAGAGCATTTGCACTAAAGGCATCAGAGTGTTTTAAATTCTTTCACTGCATGTTCTCATTTTGAAGAAACAGATTCAAAATTTGATTATATACCTAATTTTTCTAAATTATGTTCCAAATTTGAAAAATTAAACAACTTGTGTATCAAAATTTACGAAATTGACATCAACAATAAAAGGAATGAAATTGAGGCCTTGGATCGAATAACTCGCCCGACTCTCGATGGAACGCGCTAATACCAGTCGGGCAGCAGTGAGTGGCCCAGAGGCGCTCACTGCTCACTGACTGGCAGTTGCGTGTTCCTCCGAGCGTCGGGCGAGTTATTCGATCCAAGGCCTCAATTGTTCCAGTTTATTAAATTAATAAAGACAAATCAGATAAATCTACTATGCATACACTACTAATAATTGAAAATACCAAAATTAAATTAGGCAATGAAGATGAATTTGTTTTTCAAAGTAATGAAGTTTATCATTTTAAATTTATTTTAAAATTGATATCATCTAATACAGTTTTTAATTCTTTCTTATATGGGTGATTCTCCGCGTAGCGCACAATTTGGATTTTACTATTATTGATAAATTTTTTTTTAAATTAAGTAAAAGTCGATATAGAATTTTAAAGTTTAACATTCAAGAACGAAATATTCGTAGCGAGCCAGACAAAATAATTGTAATTTTCTTTTTTACAATAAACACCCATGTAAAGTTGATTACACCATGACGGTCTGATTCGACCATGACGCACAAGAAAAACTAATTTTTTAAGCAAATTATTATCGATTTCAAAAATTCTTTTTTTCCACGTCTTTTGTTTTCACTAACCTTAGACTACTAAACTTGTTTTGACGTAAAATATAAATAATTATTCATTTTATTGCAAATATATTATGATTCGACCATGACGATTCTGTGACTCCCTATGCAACTTTCATGCTTGTAACACATATAAAACAGAAAAAAATTTTTTTTAAATTAATTTCTCTTTTAATAATTTATTTAGGAGAGTTTATTGCTGCTTTTTATGAATGTTGAGCAATTTTTCGATTTGATTTTTTATGTAAATTATGCAATTTTACAAAGTGATTATACCGTGACGCGAAAACGGGGGACAAGAAATAACTACAAAAATATTAAAAAATAATTTTTTTTTCCACAAGTGTTTTGTTTTTCTCAATTCTACTAACTTAGACAACAAGAAAATGTCAATATTCATTATATTTATTATTATATTTTACTAAAAAATAACATTTTATATATGAAATGTTAGTTTGGACTGATTACACCATGACGTTTTAGCACCTTAAAACAGATTTTTAAGCAAAATTATAAACTTTTAAATAAAAACGACAATAGACTTTTATTTGTCATCATGGAAATTAATTTTCTACGTTGAATTCATTACAATATATGAAACTGATTTCTTAAAAAACACGAGGGACATTAAATTCTGCTCTACGCGGAGAATCACCCATATACTTGACAATAATAAACAATAAAAAATGATTTATATAATTTATTGGTAAGCAATAGTTTAATTTTATCAATAAACAAGACAACGTGTAAAATCCTGCAAAGTGTTATACGCAGCGCAGGTGATGGAACATATATATTTAGAAAATTGGATTCATAAACGTCTTGTAGCTACAGAGAATTTCTTTACTGAATGTGCTAAATGAGAACAGAATATCAAGTTTTGTGAGCAATAAACAAGGTTAGTAGAAATAATTTAATGATGTAATTAATTTATTTATTATTATCACACACTTGTCTTATGGACTCTTTACAAGCTCCTTACAAGTGTCCACGTGAAAATTGTTATAAATTATTTTGAAATTTAACAGAATAGTAACGTAACTGAATTGAAACTTAACAGCATTAAAGTTTCGACAACCTGACATGTAACAAAATAGTTGATTTTGTCAACGGAATTGTCATTTAACATACCTGACTGGCAACAGATTTGATATTTTAATAGTTTGACAAGAAACGTAATTATCATTTACTTTTTACCGACAGGAGATGAAACAAAATTTACAATTAACGTAACTATCGCTCAAACGAATTGCCAATTTTCTATCTTGAAAAGCAACCTAATTGTCATTCAACAGAAATGATTTATAACATAATTATCTTCTAACACAAATGACATTCAACAGAATTGCTAATTTATTGAAACTACAAGTAATGTAATTTTTATTCAACAGAATTGATATTTTACAATCGGGATACTAAATATAATTGTCAATTAACATATCGGGCATAAAACAATTGAAATTTGACAGACCTACCACGCTACAGAATTGTAATTTAATAAAACTGGTATTCGACAAAATTATTTTAGCGCGAATAATATGTTATAAATATATCAATTTTGTCAAAAGGCAGGTTTGACAACTGATAATTCTGTTGTATATCAAGTCAATAAAGTGTCAATTCTGATATGTGCTAGGTTGTCGATATGATAATTCTGTCCAGTGTGAAGTCAATTACAAGATTATTCAGTTAAATTTAAATTCTACTTTATATTTTTCTATTAAATGACAGTTCGGTTGTTTGAAAGTTTGGGAATATTCATGTTACCCATAAAACAATTTAAACTCGAAGTTTTAATTATAAAATTATGAAGTAATGTTTTAAATATCACATGACAGCCACAGCGGCTTCAATTTATTTCCCTCTATATTGGGCCGAGGTAGTAAGCAAATGTAATTTTTAATATCATAGTGTTCATTGTAACGAGTTTATTTTTACTTGATTGTAAATTCATGATATGGTTACAAAATTGGTAATAGTCCGATTCAACTTTTCTGAAATTCAGAATTTTAAATACCGTGCCTTGAATTTACGATCAACTAGTGATAAACCAATCAATCACCGGTGATTCGTTTCGGAAAACTTTTCCGGCTTTGGAAAACTATCCAGATCCTGATAATAGACTTGAGTTATATGCTCTTCTGGAGTAAATCTAGATTAACTGAGCTTATAATTTACCGTTTGAATATACAGGACACGAAACACTCAGAAGCACAAGTATCGTACGTTTCGGTACTGAGTTTCGGTCTGAGCACTGACTGGAATTTATTAATAATTAAGTTAACTTTATTATAACTAGAGAATGGAATTCATAAATTCATTGACATCCTGAAAAGTTGTCTCAATAATAGAAAACACACTCTGAAAAATGCATCAAGAAGAGGAGTCTTATTTCTATTAAATATGAAAGAACCACACAGTTTGTAAAAGAAGCAGAGGAGAACTATAACTTTGTCTAAATTCTTCAGTATCGTGTCAACAGCGTTGGCATAAAGCGGTAAACCCCAAACGCAAACCAAGATAGAATGAGATTACAGTAGACAAAACATTAAAATATAAAAAACCGCAGGCGCCAGTCGATTAAAGGTCGACAGTAAATAATTATCGACTCTGCAGATACTCGCTCTCTGTGACCACACACACGCATTAGCTCCCTCTTTGGGCCCTACTCACCCTTGCTTAACCCTCTGCTGATGCTAACTTATCCCCACTCTATCGCCAAAGAACGTAACTCTCATAGTCCTCACCAGGCGTCCAGAATGACGATTTTTGACGATAACGGTCGTTAGCATCAGCAAAGAGTTAAAGTAAATTTCTCTAATGTGAGACATCAACATTATTTTCTTGTTACAATTGCATCCTGGAATCACATCTAATCTGCGTGCTACCGATGTAAATGTTTAAGTTATCAAGAATATGAGTTCTTCTTTCTTTCTTCTTAAATGACTTTTGGCGGAGCCGACTGGCAGAACTAAAACATGTGAAGAGAAAAATGTGATTCGTTAGAATTGTTATGTGAATGATTTAGTCTTTTAGCCAAAGGTAGTGCGATGAAAGGCAGTCAATGTTTGCAGTGTTCCAAATCTGTTAGATGTAGTCATCGGAGAATGTCCAGATTGTATGTGTAGGTCAAGTTTAGAGTACCATGGTCAAACAGAATATTTTTCCCTGGGTGGGAAAGGCCAATCCGGTGGGGGGATAAGTTTCTCAGCAAAGATAAATAAAGTCAGTTTGGTAAAATATTGTCTTAGTCCATGTCGTAGGCAAATAGAAAAATCCGCCGTTTAACTTAATTCCTAGGCTTTAAGCTAAACGCGGGCAAATAGGAAAATATTCAAGTAAATGACTATTATTCTTTTAATCGACTGATTTCTTTAGCTAAATGACTTGTCAGGGGGGCAAATCA